TCGGGGAAGCAATTACAATATTGTTACTTTACACTCACTGCGGGGAATACATGTGTGGAGTAGACGTTGTTGCTGCTTACCATATTTCACAGTTTTCGACATACGTTTCAAATGGATTGTAGTAAGTACAGTTCTTTTCACAGTAACCTAAGAATGGATGTAAAGAGTTTTATAATGGCGTTTGTCGAATACTGTCGTGCAGCATTCAATCAAATCACCACATATTACAAACGTCATAGCACCGGGCATGTAAATATCATTATACTAGTACAGTGTATATTGTTAACACACAAATATGATGTGATATATATTTCTTAATTATACCCGAAGCATTTCCAAATTTAAACGCTGAAATACCTTCAATATAATGTCCACCCAGGCATGAAGGAGGCGGGCAGTTTTCAATGTCCGAACAGCAAAGGTAATCCTGATCAGGATTTGCAATACACTCATCGCACGATACCCAGCACACTTCCGGTACAAAATCGATTGGACAAGGACATGGTCCACCTGTGAAAACAATCATTGTCACACATTGCAACACACAAAAAACAATTACAGTCGAGCAATTCGAACTTACTATTGTATTAATTTTGAAATTGAAATGTCTGTATGCACGACATTTTAAAAGTAACATGTACTCACCGCATGCCAGGTCAGGTCGACAAATCCAATCCCCTTCTCTACAAACGCTGATAGAAAGTATACAAATGTTTTGTTCAAGAATATTTAAATCTATTATACGATTGTAAGTTTCGTATTAGTTAAATATAATAAGTCTAATGGAACTTAAAGGGCGGTAGTCGTCACGCCAGGCATGCACGAGACATATGGGTCTCATATAAACAAAGATGGCAACTTGGCAGATCAACGAGTACAAACTGAGACGTTACCAAGAATTAATTAGGTATTTTTAGGTGATTGGAATGTATCAAAGGAGGCAAGTCGCGCTCAGGTTAAACCTCGTACTCATGATTTCCATTAGAAGAGCGCATTGGATTGTGGGAAAATAAATATTTATCAACACAAATATCGCACATGAGCTGCGCTACGACTGCCGCGCTTTAACCGAAGATAATCAGAAAAACCAATCTCTTACCATGTTTCACAATCTTCGTTTACTACATCTCCTGGCGAGTAATACTCGCAGTCCAACTCACAAAATCCTTCTGTGAAAATTAAAAAAAATTGTGAGTGTCTATAATTATTATCTCTTTGAAGCGCAAGGGTCAACATGTGTCACCATTCGCAATTTCTTTAAATTTTCAAATATTTTTAAGTCCATTTGAGCCAAAATTAGAAATAAATAAAAAATAAATATACATGGGCAAAATATTGTACTGAGGTGGTGGGAAATGTGGTCCAAAGATTCTGGCAATCGAGATGTTTGATTAGGTCAGAAACAGCCATACACGCTCATGTACAGGTTGTGTGAGAGAATAATTTTGGAGGCGAATATACGGGTTCTCTGGGGTGGGGGGGGAATAATAGCATACATTGTGATAAATTATCCCCGAGCACGGCGTTGCAATACCGTGGATATGGTATATCCATTATATTACGTTGTATGGTGATATTCTCTTGAGTGTGTAGTAGATTTCATATATTACACATATTGCGTACGCGTAGTATGTTTGTTATTCGCGGGCATTTTCTCGATCAATTCGCATATAAATTTACCATTTTAGGCAATTATAATTACTACAACGGGCTGATCGGTACCTGTACCTCGATTTCTATTTCTATGGTATTATAGTCAATTTAGTTCTGGGACATAAACTTAAGCCATCCAGATCCAGGCATATAAGACGTGACTAAAGCCAATAAAAGGACAGGTTTCGACTAAGCACAGAAAAGCGAAGGTCAGCTGATATTCTCTAAGCTGTTGTATCCATACTATAATTTCAATTACCTGGCGTGTATACTCCTCCAAGACATGCTGGTGCCGGGCAACTACCGTCGTCGCAACAAATATAGTTTGGCGTCGTTGATGCATGTTCATCACAAACGTCACAATTCAACCAACACATTTGCCCCAGAAATCCTTCAGGACACGGACATGGTCCATCTTTTTTTGGAAAAAGATATAATAATGATATTCACGTGATACTAATCACATGCAGTGATGTGTGTTAATATTCTTGTAATATCTATGCCATTACGAGTACACAGATGACATGTTGCTCACCGCAATGTCGTCTACACGCTTCTTCCGTTTCAAAATTATTGTTGTTTCCTTCACATCCTCCGTATATGAACTTTTTACACTCATTTATTTCACAGTCGAAGTACCATCTGGAAATGGAACCTTTACACGTACCAGGATCAACAGGTAAACAGCAGTCACCTATAATTTTAAAATAATATCATATATCTGTAATTAATTATTACTGAAATGAATTCTATCATTTTGTTAGGAATCCGTATTTATAAACTGGGATACTGTAAATTCCATTTGCACATTGCTTACCTCCGCATTCTTTTTCGCA